GGATAGAGAACATCACTTACCCCTCCTTACCAGGATTGAGGAAGAAGATGGATCACCAAACAAGTCTATCACAAATGCACAGACCCTACTTGCAACAATTCACAAACAACAATCACAGGTACATGATTTTAACCAAAAGATGATGAAGGATTTTAAGTTTTAACAGCCAGAAATATTCTCCACGTGATTAGAAAAATCAAAATCACAGACACAAACAGCATCAAACAAAATCCTAAAATAGCAATCCTGACAAAGTAGCACCTCAGTCATCGTATGCTATTACATTTTTACTGATCGACAAAAAGCACATCTGATACAAGATGCAGACTGTCAGCGCCAAATCGAAGTACTTTCATTTAGTTTTAAGCAAATTCCTGGAATACAATAACTAAGACCAAAGCTGAAAGAACCTCAAAATGACAACTGTCATAATCTACAAGATACAGCCGAAAAGATGCAGCAATGCTGATACATCACCCAGTTGAACTGCACAAGTGTTTTGGAATAAATAAAAGAATACTTAGTCTCCCCCCTGAGTCCATATCTTCACAGTCTTGTCATTCCCAAGCGAACCAGAAGCAATCATGTTCTGAGTGGGGTTGCATGATACAGAAATCACGGTATCAGTATGGCCTTCCAACTTTTGAACTATCTTCCTTGATTGAAGTTCCCACAAATATACACAATTATCCTCAGAACCACTGACGATATACTTACCATTTGTTATGGAAAATGTTGATGAAATGCAGTACTTTGAGTTGACATGGTCTGTGTAAGTTTTCAGAACTTTTCCTGTTGAGAAGTTCCAAAGCCTCTGCAAAACAAGGAAAAAAAAAAGCATACAAAGGTCATTGAGCACGTTAACTAGCAGTCTCGATCATTGAACACGTTAAATAACAGTCTCCTTTTCGTTTTTTTAAAACAAGACGTCAAGTAGCAGTTTCTAGACAATGGAAGTTTTGCATAGGGCACTAATCTAGACAAATACATATACTGACACATTCCCGAACCAATTGAACTTATAAAACACTACACCCACTTCATTGTGAAATCTATGCAATACTAAAATGTACAATCAGCTTAGTAAGTAAACAACATAACTATACGTTATAACTTTATAGTCATGCATTACTCTTACCTGAGGATATGCGTGTAAAAAAACAAGCGACTAGAATACATACTTTGGGTTGTATGAATTGTATATTGTAAAGGGCATAAATGACATATTTAATAAACTAATAATTGCAACACAGGTTTCCCTAAAATAGGATTGATTGATCTTTAAAGCATGCTTTTAGTATTATGTTCAATCATTTTGAACTACTATGTATTACGATACTTCAATAATATTGATTTTTAAAGATTATTGTATTTTTATCACGCCAATTACTTTACAACGAGTTTTCCATATTGTATAATTTTTTAAACAAATTTAACTTTAGTTCTTTCATATATTTAATCAACCGAAAATCTAAGTGTGAGGCACATGCATAGAAACTAGTTGATATAACATATGTCATACAAATAAATCAGATGATATAGCCTAACATGCTTTGCAGAATATGAAAAAGTAAAGAATGGCCATTTAAAGCAGTTTTTCTTTTCGTTTTATAAATGCATTTGCAGCCTTTTCCACTCTAAAGAAACTGATTGCTGTTTTCTGCTAGGTGAATAAAAGATCATTGTTCAATGAGAGAGTAAAGAAGAGGCCTCCTGGATGCACAAATTCACTATTCTGCTAAGGTTTTGATGTCGGATATCAGTAACACACCAAACCATTCCCAAAAAGAAATCATACACTAGATCTCACAAGTTTGATATGAGTAGGGCATCCCTTATCCCTTCTTTTACTAAAATATAAAGGGGAAAAGAAAAAAGAACCAGAACATAAATAAAGCTCTTGAATATACATGGATGCAGATACTCATATTACAAAATTAAGAACTCTTTGATACTCCAGGATATATCTTGGGGCTTAGGTTACAAATTTTGATAGGGAAGAGCCAAAAGCATCTTTGATACTCCGAGGATATATCTTGGGGCTTAGGTTACAAATTTCGATGGGGAAGAGCCAAAAGCATGAGGAGGAAACGTTAGAAATGAACAATTAATAAAGAGTCCTCCAACTAAATTCCATTTTGGAGAAAATTAGAATGGAACATTGACAAATCTGTTGGTGGTTCCCAACAAATACATAATGAAGCTTGTATAACCAACCCTCTCGTGAAGATCTAGGCATACCAGCTTAATCCTATCTAGAGACTTGGGTGTGATAGGCGGAGGTACCGAGACATGTCCTCATAGCACTTCCATAATCGTACAGAACAAAAAGTTCATCCATAAATCCGGTGAAGTACCCCTTAATGCTATTTTTTGAAACATTCTTAGACATATTCAAGAACTTAATACCAACTCCAACAAATCAAAGTAGCATTAAGAACCTTCAAAATGATCCCCAAAGTTGAATTAAAGCATAACTACAAAGAGGAACCAATCCAGTTTACAACAATTTCTAATCCACAGTATTGCTCAAATCTCAGGGTTGGTCGACATATCAAAATTGTTCAGAACCACGTGAAAAAAAGCAAAATCCACGGAGGATAACATTGGGTTTACTGAAGCATTAGCAAAAATCTAACTTTAATGTTTCATATTTCTAACTAAAAAGATAAAAACCATTGAGAAGTCTATGGTTCAAAAAAGATTAGCCAGTTTAGAGTAAGGAAAGGGATATAGAAGTCGTAATCAGTTGACGTCTGTTTTCAACACAGAATGCTTGTGATGGGAACAGGTAACTTACATCTCAACTTTATCCCTTAAGAGAAAATGTGAAGAATTTGTCAGAGAGAGATTGCAAGTAGTTTTGCTGGACATCCGATAAAAAAGCGGTGAATCAGGAGACGAGACCAATTTAAGCAGCAGCCTTCACAGGTTGATTTTGGGCAACTCAGCCTAGCCCATTCTGAGCCGTCTTTCTGGACTGTTTAATTTGCCATAGCCCATTCTGACCAATAAACATTTTGACACTCGCTGGACCTGTTAATATCTTTTTGGATTGGATTTCCTACCCTAGTCCTAGTTTCTCTTTCCAGTTTCATCTCTTTTAGTATTTCCTTTTGCAAAAACGACTTAGATGGATGATCTCAGTCCCTTAAATAAGAAATAAGATAAAATAAATATCTTAGAAAACTTGGGCATTTCTCATGTCTATGTTTGGATCAATTTACATCTACTAAATGAACACGATTAGATACATTATGCTTAACTCTCAGGCTTGCCCATAGCAGTAGTTCCAACTCCACCAAAAAGCACACAAGAAACCATATGCTGCGACTGTAGCACTTGATAGACATATGCACTATAATCTTTTTTATCATCAAACCTAACATTCTACACAGCATGAAACTCCATAGCTCTTTTGACTTAATCAGTTCAAAACAGTAAAGACACCAACTTTCATGATCAAATCGAGTAATATGAACATTCATATTATAAGGAATCCTACAGAACTATCTTTACAATGTCTCGGAACTCCTACATGGCCTTTAAAACCATTTTCAACTTCACGGAAAATAAGAAAAGAAAACAGCTACCTAAAGTGAACAAAGCACTTGTATAATGCACCTCAGAAGAACCTCCTTAGAGTAACTACACCAAAAGCTACATTTTTTCAAACAAAATCTACCAAACCTCAACCTTTACATCTTATTCAACTGAAAATAAAAAACAGCGGAACGGATACTGAAAAGGGAAGTTCTGCTTTCGCAACAGGCAGCCAAATTCAGTGTGTAGAAGCAATAGGAATATAAATTGCTCACTGGATAGGACACATAAAAAGAAAAGCAAAAAATAAATAAATCAAGAAACAGCAATAAAAAAACAGAAACTTACCAGAGAATTATCCAAAGTGCCAACGAGTATAAACTTGCCATTGGGCGAGAACTTGACGAAACTCACAGGTGGGTTTTCATCATCAATTATGGTCTTCATACAATGCCCGGTTGAAGCATCCCAAATTCTACACAACCCATCATAGCTGCTTGACACAATCAACGACCCATCCCGATTAAAATTCACAGCCGTCACAGGATCGGAATGCGCTGGCAGCACCTTGAGACACTTCCCAGTCTTCACATCCCATAACCTAACCGTCTCATCGAACGACCCAGAAACCAACATATTAGCTTGGGGATTGAAGTTAACACAAAAAACATAATTTGTGTGACCTGTAAGGGTTTTGATATGGGAACCGGTGGAAACGTCCCATAATCGTACAGTTTTGTCATCGGAGGCAGTAACTAGGTGACGGCCGTCGGAGGAGAAGGCAACATCGGAGATACCCTGTTCGTGACCTAGGAATTCGTGAAGAAGGGATCCGTCGGAGACATCCCATGTTCGGGCGGTTTTATCGGCGGACGAGGTGGCTAGGATTTTGCCATCGTCAGAGAATTTGACACTGGAGATAGCGCGTTTGTGGCCGGAGAGAGTGAATTTAAGCTCGTAGGGTTTGAAAGATTCTGAAGTCTCAATAGGGGAAGCCATGGAGGAAGTTAATTATTTTCAGAATGCCAACAAAAATGGAGTGGGTTTTTTCAGAGGTTTTAGCGACTGATTTACATCAGAGGAAACTGAAATATCAAGCTTTGATAAATCCCGGGACAAGTCTAGCTGTCTCTCTGCTTTCTTGTTTCCTTCTGTATAAATGGTGTGAGAAGCGAGATACGAGTTATGTTTTTTTTTTTCAATTAGATTCAATTCACGTTTTTGGAAGTCCACATTGCTCTTCACTTTATCCTTTCGATTTTTTTTTTTTCATTTCGTATTAGACCTTTCTAATATGGTGGGGGAATTAAAAAGAAAATCTTAGTTTTACAAAATTATTTATCCCGTGTCCAACTTTAGCAAGTTTTATCATCTACTCACTTGATTTCTTTTGCAAACTTCCAACAGCGCAGTTAACAGCAACATGCAATTATCAAGTACTATCAACCATGCGAGAGTGGTGATGAATTTTTCAATATTATTTAAAAAATTGAAGGAACATACTTGAAAAGGTATCTAATTCAAGATAATTTGGAACATTAGTTTGCTTTTTGAATTTTGGTACTATTACATATCAGCCCCTCACATCCCGAAGCAAATATTAGACTTACCTGAACCTGACAGGCACATCATCATGGTCTAAAAGAAAAATACTCCTGCTACTATACAGTTAAAAAAACATCTTTTTTTCTTTGTTGTGATAATGCATAGATATGAGTAGCAGCACTCAAAAGCAGCAATGATTTAGCAAGGCATTGTGATTTCTCCAAGAGCTTACAGAAAATTTAGACTCATGTTTAACTGCTTCATCAACTGCCGTCAACTTCCAAAAGCTCACACCACTGAAGTATGCTGTATGCACTGCAGGCTGCAGCAGCGGCACAACTACATTCTTTAGTCTTTACTTTGTTATAAGACTCGAATAAATTGAATAATCTATGCCAACTACTGAATCCACTAAATGACTATAGAACCTCTAATACTATATTATGTACAATTGGAGGGGCAAATTGAGAAAAGGAATCAAATGAAAGAATAGATTGTTTAAGAAAATCTTGGCGGCCGAGCTTCACGGCTATTGGAACTTAATGATGTTGTATCACAGGAAGGAAGCACCTGCATATCTTGCAGGTTAAATTGCCCAAGTTTTGGATGTAAATGATTAGAGTTCAGCGAGGCAAAGTTCTGGGTGAAGGGGCTACTGTGAAACCGACCTTGCCTTGATACCCTATGAACCATCGTAGTTCCATGGTGAAAGTAATCAGTGTTGCTTATTTCTGCATGGCAGCTTGGCCGTATTTGCTGCCTGATAGAGCTTGACTGGACATCCTATAAGCGAGATAAAAGAGTTAAGTAAATGTATAAACCAAAAAGTAAACAGGAGAAAAAGAACATTGAGAGGCACAGTAGCTAAAATACAAGGAGGGAGGAAGTGTCCTAATAAAAATTGTCGAAGTTTTCAATACAGGGGAATTCAGAATGAGTAGTTTGAAGGATTACCATCTGCTGCTGCCTCAAATCCACAAGGGAAGGGGTCACTGACATGCCACTTTCACTGCATGAAGAAAATTGGTTTCTTGTCGGTGCATACGAACTGCAAAATTCAAGAGGATGCCTATTAGGAACTTCATGAAGTGAAGTCCCATCTTTGAAACAACTTTCGCCTTCGCTCAGTGTCATATTTTCTGATGGGGAATAGTCATGCAAATAATAAGAACTGTGGTCTTCATCTCTGCAATGGATAAGTGGTGGTCTCCGATTTCTCAATGAACTTGGCACAGAACAGAAGTATTGTTCAAGTGGCACGTTAGCACCAAGTTGAAAAGTTGGTGGAGAGGAAGATAAGGTAGTATATGTTCCACTTCCTGTGTTTGGTGATTGTCTTCTATCAGATAATTGAATTTGGGCAGTCATTGTCCAGTCTTCAATTGTTATTCCCTGTTTAAGGGCAAGATCCGTTATCTGCTTTTCATCAAGGCCTAGACTAAGGAGTAAACTCCACAGATTCTTTTGTGTTTCCCTTTGATTGTGAATTATTTGATCTCTCATCGCTATTTCTAGCTGAAGCTCAGTATTAGCAATTCCCTACATGTATTTCAGTAAATAAGTGAGGTTCAAATAATGTACAATATTCAGACAAAATTACCAAACGCAATTCTACAGTTTTTTTTTTTGTTTTTTTTTCGTTGGGCTTCAGGCTTCCCAATACTAGGAGGCAGCAGACCAATGAGTGGAAACATGGAAAGGGAAATTGGAGAGAACATAATGCGTCTTTTGGTGGAAAGGTAAAACCGGATAATTGATGTATCGCTTTTGCCGAAACTGAACTGGATAATTGATATATCTTGTTTGGTGGGATTAAGCAACAAGAACAAAAAAATAGTATTTGTTTACCAGAAGCCTGTATTGACTCAGAACTCTCAAGTAAGTCTTGTTTCCATTATTGCTAATAGCTTCATCAATCATAGCTTGGAGTTCACACCTTCGTTTCTCATTTGCTTCAATTTCCTGCGCAATTTACAACTCCAGATGTGTTAAGAGAAAAGAAGACATTGGATAATATAACCTACACATCAGTAGTACTTAGCCACCTTCAGATAATTGTTACTGAGCTCATCATTGTCGCGAATATTATCAAGAATGACTTGACGTCTTGCTCTAAGAGCTCGCACGACTGCCCCATCCTTTTCAACAGCCTGAAAAGTGAAGATTGAGGAAATACCCAACAAGAAAAACATTCTTGACTTCGTCGTATAATATTGGATCTTCAACAATAAGTCATACAGAAGGAGAAAGACAAGACAACACTAGTGATCTTTAGGAATTGAATAGCAAAATTATGAAGCGCCATGGATCAAGACAAGAGATGAAGGAATGAAATAGAAGCAAATGACTACACGCTCCACTTCTAAAATCAGAGTAGACTGACCTTAGGGAAGGGACCATTAAAACAGTTGTAGTGCATTCGTACCATAGGGAACACTAGACAGGTAATAGAAACTTAACAAGAAATTGCGGCTACTGATTTACCAAATACAAATCGTTGTGTGTGCAAGCCAGATAAATGCTTGGGGTGACACATGTTAAGTGCCAAGAGAGAAGCATATAGATGTTTGGCAAATAGATGGTTATTAGATTTTGATCAAGTTATTAACACAATGATACTTAACCTGTTGTTTTGCAATTGCATCATCAAGATTTTGGAGTTCATTATGGTTGCTAATATTCATCTCCTCTATCTCAAACAAGGCCTTCTGTAAATTTATCCTCTCCTGGACATTTTCACTGGTTTCATGGCTCAACGTGTCCAGCCAAGAAAGCTCGTCATCTGACGCCTTTTCAGAAGGCTTGGCAATTAGTTGTGTTTCTTTGTCAGCTAATTCCTTCCTCAACTGGCTAACCTCAATCTACAAGGAAAAGCATCTCACCTAAACATGCATGATTTTGTAATGTCCAGACAAAAAATGCTAAAAATGTCAACTTCTTACTTGAAGGCTATCGATCATCCGTTGGTAATCTGAAACGTGAGTATTGATTGTTCCAATGTTTTTCTGAAGAGCATAACAAAGCAGATCAAAACTGATGAGCAACACCTACTGGAATTCATATTAACTTGTGAAGATAACTCAAACAGAATGACAGATCAATATCTCTTCTTTTTTTTGAAACAGATCAAGGCAATGAAACAAACAAACAGCTCCAGATGAAAGTATGAAGTTTGGAAAGGCAACACAAAGCACATTGCATAGAAAACTTATGAGTAATGCTCAAGTGTAAATTCGTTTAGAGAATATGGTGATTTTTCCCAAACAAATTCCAAGTTAAAACTAAGGCGAATCAAGTACTACACGTCGAATTGCAAATTAGAATACCCAAAGTAGTTTCAGCATTGTGATCAACAATATGCTCATAATGAAACAATTCAGTCATTATCCTGATTCCTGAGTAGTTACTGGGATAAAAGGCAAATAGAAGAGTTCCTCAGTTGGATGTCAACGCTTAAACCATAAGTCACACAGAGGATTGGGCCGTACCAGTAAGCAAATCTAATGATCATACCAAAACATCACAAGAACAAAGTGTATCTAAAAGGAAGTCAACCGCGTGCAACCTGTACTCTTACCATAACCCTGAGATGACCCTTCACCAGAAGGACAGCTACATGAATCTGGTGGTGCAGTTAACTTTTTTAGTACTAGGCAAACCATTAAGGACTAAAATTCAATTTATTCGTTTAAAACTCTTCTTATCTGCTCTTTCCTTCTTTGTCAACGATTCTCTTTAGTAACTGCAATTAGAATCATTCCTTTGCAATACTGGGAGACAAGGCCTTCTTTAATGCACTCAAGAGTCAATCCATCTTAATGTATTTATTTCATTGGATAAACATCAGATGAGTCACCTATTCAATTTTACTTTTCTTGTTACACTACCTTCCACCCATCCATTCTTTATCCAAGGGTAGCCGTAGATATTACTTCTTTATTGCAACATGCTAATCACTGCACCTTAAGAAATAATTAACAAATGAAGAGTGTTTTTCTTTCTACTATGGGAAGATCATCATAAAAAAAATGGGTCAGACTTTTAGCTATGTAATGCATTGAATATCACAATCAGACCTGTTTTTATCTTCTTCTAATAAGATTCTAGTGTCCTTTGTGAGACTAATATATTATATTGGACTCTAACCTGAATGTGTGTCTTAATTTCCTTCGCTCTGTCAGCATACTTTAAGGTATTCACAGTATGGTGATACTGACTGACAGCTGGTGATATGGTGGCAATCATTATTGTTTGAGAATTGCCACTCAGACCATCTTTCAGAATTCGTGTCAATTTACTGCAACAAGAATCAACTAAACTAGTTAGCATTAGGAAAAAGATTCACTGCCAACATAACAACCATTCAAACACCTGTTGCGGTAAGGAACATAAGCTAGCCCCTTCTTCTGTTGTTTCCCCAAAGCATTTATGCAGTTTGCCAAAGCAAGAAGAGATCGATTAATGTTTGCACCATCTCTCAATTTTTGACCTCCACTATTTGTTTCGCAAGCTCGTTCACTGTATCAAAAGTTTCACAGATAACAATCACCTATGTTTTGCTCATGCAGGAAAAGAAGAAGAAAGAAGGAAATATTGGGCAGACCTTCCAGCAAGATCAACAAGTGCCAGTTTTCCTCTTATAACCTGATTAGAGTATTTGTCTCTCTGTTTCCTAGTCACAGTAATCTCCAACACTGCATGAGAACTGCTCAGAAAATATCAGTATTTCCATACCATTAACAAGGTGATGTGACCACGAAATTGAGCTAGTTGTAGGTTCTTCTTCATCTTGAAACAAAAAACTGAGTTATCAAGAACCGCCCCCTTTTCTTTTAGCTGTAATCGTTATCAGCTTTTCATGTCTGATAAACAATAGTAAGATTCACTTTTGAGGATGTAATAAGTCTGTATCTAAGTCTTCTTTCCAAGGAATCATAAAAAAGGAAAAGAGAAAACATATTTCAGTTTGAAGTAGAAAGCTAAACAGAATTTGAGGGAACCTAGGATAGAACATTAACAAAGTCAAGGTTACTCACCGTGATGAAGTTTCGTTGACCTCTGTGCTTTCTGTCTTTCGCCTGCTGTTCCCCAAATTTAAAAGCTCAAGGATTTTATCAGCTGAATTAACCTAATACAAGTAACAGGGTCAAGAACAACAGGAAAGGATCTTGTACCACTAGAGTAGAGCAAAAGTAATCAAAACGAAAATAGTCATTATCTAAAGAAACTGTGAGGCCAAAGAACGTGAGAAGACAAAATAGACAAATCAACAGATGAGGAGAGCATCATAACTGGAGAAAGTATATCTTTACACTCAGACCTAAAAATAACCGGAAAGCTAGAGAAACTTGCGTTAAGAAGTGTGAAGCAGATTCTTGTTACATACTTTCATCGCCTAGGTATTAAAAAAATTGATGGACAGCATCTCAAAGGCACCAAGAGAAGAATATCATGAATATGCACTGCCACTTTAAGATTTGAAATCCATTGGGACTTCATAAAGCTATTGATTTCAAGGGAGTTCTTTAATTATAGATAAACCTTGACCACAGATGTGAAGTCCAACTACAACAACATCCCCAGTGTAATCCCACAAGTGAGGTATGTGGATGGTCGGATGTACGCACACCTTACCGGCTTACCCCTCCCCACCTTAGGTTGTTTCTGGACAGATGCTAAGTCCAACCATTTAAATGTGGCATTCCCTCAAAAAGATGAAGTGCAAAAAAAATAATTAAGGGACAAACCTTGATACATCTAAGGCCAGGAACCACTATTCCTTGCTCTGGATCCTCTCTGAGCTCCAAGTGACCCGATGACTTCTCAAGTAAGTCATAGATAACCTGCTTATAACATATTTAGATGTCAAAAACATTGCCTAGAGCACTTCAATCTAGAACTGATTATTCCATGCAAAAAGACATCAGACCTCATTATAAACTTCAAGGTAGGAGCAAGTAACTTGAAACACGTCAGAGCTTTTGTCATTCTTGATACGATTGAATATAGTATTAAGACTCAGAACCATAAGTCCAGGGTCATTTTTAGTTCCAACCATTGTATATGTTTTTCCACTGAAAATACAAACGCTTGTTCAATATTAAGATTATCTTATAGAAGCACTCCAAGCCCGTCCAACTAGAATAGGAAAAACAATAAGAAAAAAGTACAAGAAGAAAATAAGAAAAGGAAGACAAGATAATAATTTCACTATGTTTAATTAAACCCCACAAGTGATGCTCTTATTACCCAGCTAAAATCCAATATGTTGTCTTTTCTTGAAATCAGTAGAGAAGTGTATATTAAGAGACAAGCAAACACAGGAATAACTCTTTTAAGTTTTTATATGAGAAGATCACTGATATGGCCTGAATGGAAGCCTAAAAATAACAAAATGTCTATAACTTCCATTCAACTTCACAACAAAATAAACCTTTACTAACTGATCTCTGCTTTTCATTTAATTTCTTTGATCCACACCAGTCTTCCAGTGCCATTAACCTATCAAGTTTCTCATTGTATTCAAAATTATCATTGTTGTAGCATTTTGCATCTCAACTTTAGCCACTCACCATGTTGTTGAAGGAAGATCATACCAGTGGTACTTGATGCTAATACATGGTTAGTTTAGCAGTCAATTTTTAAAAATTCCATATTATGACAGGGTATTAGGCCAATATTCCAACCCCAGGAGATTAATCATAAAGGTTCAAAAACCACAGAGAGATCAGATGTTCTTAATACAATGTTGTATATACCTGCCTGTTGATCCATAAGCAAAGACAGTTGCATTTAGGCCTTGAATAACCCCAGCAATTGTAGACTGGATACTTTTCTCATAGACGCCCTGAGGTTTAAAGCATCAGAGTTTAATTAACGACATCAGATGCAAAGGCATATATTGGCATCACACATACATGAAGGAGATGATAAAAACTCAAGAGAAGCAAAGTCTAGAAGAAACATACTAACTAGGATAATATGAAATACTTGCCAAATTTGTAGATTTAGGTCCAAATGCATAATCAAAAGCATATCTTCGTTCTTTGCTACGATTCTGTATGCGATCTAAGTAATCCTTTGAAAGGTCAGGATCCAGAATAACAACCTCCTATATTCATCATTGTTGTCATAAATTACCAAAATTTAATGCTCAGGTTAGTCAATCAACTCCACAATGCTTTTCATATAGAACAGTAGAAAAATCAACTCCACAATTACCTTATCATTGTTTACTCTAACTATATCGCGCCCTCCTTCTCTATCCGTCAATGGCCTACATTTCACTGCTACCTACATCCACCAGAATGATACAAACAAAGTAAAAAACACATCAAAAGTTGAATAAACATACAAAACATGTGATGCTAAAGCAGTCCTGAATAGAAACGTTACCGAAAGGGTAGTGGCTTTCCTTGCAGCTGGAGCTCTAATGCTTGGCATTTTTGACGAACATTTGCCTCAGAAAGGTTTTTGAGTATTTAGCAACAAGACGAAGAATTTTTTTTTTCAATTTTCAGACCTATTTTCAAATTTGAATTCTGACGACGAACTACGACTTCTAGTTCGGCGCTTCGCCAAGTAAAAGAAATGCTTCAATAATCAAATCAAATACAGTTTCCAGCAAAATCAGTAACCGCAGTTCGTTCAAACAATTAATAGACGCAAACAACAAGATAACAAGATTTCATCAAAGGGAAATGAATATCTCTCGATAACCGAAACGGAGAATATTTGTATGACTATATGCAAATGACTTGGGACAAAGGGGAAAATGAATTGTTTCTTAATCTCCCGAAAATCGTTACTTATATGTAAATTAATTTTGGTGACCACCACGCCTAATATAATGGATACGGAAGTTTTAAATTTTGACAAGTCATAGTAAAATATTTAAAAAGATATGTGTTATTTTTATTGCGATAAAAGATAATAAATTCAAACTATTAGTGGAGTGCAGTAAATGAATTTCCTTTTTTTATCTTGTAGATTTCATTAAATATGGTTACGGATGGGGGAGGAAAACTCTGAACCTCCAATTTAGTTAAAGATAGTGACCCTTTATCGTTATATTTATGTTCTGTTTGGACTTTGGTTAAGACAGGTGGGTTATTTTTGGAATCTTATGGGAGTGGAAAGGCAATAGAAAAGTTTCTACGTTGCATAAATTTACTTTTTGGAATTATGTGGGGACAAAGACATTTTTGAGTTTTGCAAGAAAAGTATTTTTTATTATGAAATAATGAGAAACTTTTTGAAGTTTGAGAACATTTGAATTTAGACCCATCCACCACCTTCTTTTACTCTCAAGTTTTGAATCCACAAAGATTTCCCTTCTTTTAATTTTATAAATACAAATGGAAGGCGTGCCAGCCACAACTGCAAGTGATTGTTTTCTTCAAATTTAAACAATATTATACATGATTAAAAAATTTATTTCTTCTCTCACATTAATAAAAATATTTTTTAATTATTTTCAAGAGTGAATAATTTTTTTAAAAGCGTCTCCTAGCTACCATTCATTATGAATCTAAGAGAGTAACTAATAGTTATAGCGATTTGACCACATTATAGTAGAGTTTAGGTATAATTGAATGCAATTAAATAATTGGGACCAACATAATTTGATTTGTTTGTTTGGTCAAATAATTAGTTAAACAAAATGAAATTGATTAAAGCATATCAACTATACTCTTTGTTGACAAAGGGAGGCAAACTCTTTCTTATTACTACGTACTTCATTCATCCCATATTAATCGTTCACGTAATTCTTAAAAGATTATAAATAAACATAAGTAGATCGAAACAGTCTACCAGAAAACAATGTAGACTGCTTAGCTCTCGTAACTAATTCATCAAAATGTAATATTCTAGTAGTAGTTGGTTATCTTTTAACATGAAGAAGAAGATGCAAGTGTCATGAAGAAGTAGGGTCAGAAGGTACATCTATAATGAGGTTTACTGACTCACTGGTCCCAACACAATGAGAGACAAAAAAACACAAGAGGGACAATGAAGAGATAATTTTGGATCTATCTCAGTTGTACTTAATCTGCAAACACGATGACTAAGTACATCTTGCTAGCCAAGTGCACAGACATATTGCATCTTCTCAAGGAATCATTAATTTAGAGATGGCAAATGGGTTGGCTTATTCGATTGAATTTACGCGGGTCAAAATCAAAATGGTTTAAAAATTACTTTGGCTTGAAAGAGGGTTAAGGTTAAGGCTCATATGGATCATAAGTTCATAACTAAACTTATTTCATTCTTAACAATCACTTTCATTTAATGTTGATTTGACAAAAAATCTTATGAGAACTTATATTAGGAGAACATTACAAGCTCTCTAAATCAAACAAAAAAAAATGAAAGAAATATTTATAGTGTAAGAGTCAAATAATATGAAATGGAAGAAATACATTTTACTTTATTTGTTCTTGTACTTTTAGCACCTAATAAAACTACTACTTTTCTTTATCGTTATTACATGTATAACATATCAAAATAAAACAATGTCATTTTGAAAATAGTTTGATAAAATTTCTTATTGATCAATTTGAATTACACATTAACTCATTTTGAGGGGCTAAGTCGATTAATTTTTCCAACAAAAAATAAACAGAAAAATCCATAACTTGGCAAATTTAAATAGATTATATTTTCATGGACTAATTTTTTCACCTCCAGAAATTACTATGTTCAATTTTAATTAAAACGATCTAGAGTAATACAATATATAAAATATAGAGAGCACAACAACCACAATCTTTAAATCATAAACCTGTCATATTATAACTTTTTGTGTTTCAATTTGTCTAACACAATTTTCTTATTAGTTCAAGCCAAGAAAATGGCATACCCCTCTATTTTGGAAATAAATTTCCTCTTACAAAGCTTTCTTTTAGTCATGCAAATGTCACTAAAATATTGATATGCCACAAAAATGTTATGATATGTTTTAGGTCTACATATTTTTTTTTAAAAAAATATTTCTTTCCTTTCAAATTAAATTATGACAAAAAAAATTGAAACACAAATAGTGAAATTAGAGCGCCTCGATAAATCTAACAAACTCGAAACCAAGAAGTGAATTTGATGGTGCATGAGACTGACTGCTCTTATCTTAGATGTTTAAAATGGAGAAAAGGACATAACCTTTTGGTGGATGGTTAGTTAGGGTATAATAATTTCAACGTTGACGACACTGCTATATGTAGCTTTCAATGTTGGGCCTGCAAGATTTATTTATTTCAGTCCACCAACCTCAGTATCAGACTATCAGTGCTGAAACTCGAAATGGTTAGCAACAGTAAAAAGGCATATTTTATGTAGAAATAAAGACGCAAAATGATTTATTGCTAGCAGCAATGGGGGGGACAGGGGATGGGTATCAGGTCAAAGAGATTTTAAAATAAAACAAGGTTTTTCAGATGTACTTTTTCATATCAATTATTCACCAAGAAAGAAAAATCAATTATTCGTTTAGAATTGGCAATGCCCTGTGTCCGTCCTATTGACTAAAACATTGAAAGAAAACGCATTTTAGTCCATTTTTTATTAAGTTAACAAAAATCATCCTCTAGACTATATGTACTAGGCACCCTACGGCATGGACAGAGAGATGAATACGTGAAATATGTAAAGAAAATCTACTTTACAAGTTTTTTATCGCTGTATATGCAGAGATATGAATGTCGCAGCACTCTGCATCCCACGAAAAATCCTTTATCATGGCATCGAGGATCTTCTTGTCCCATTTTGATGGGTTGTTCTTATGTAATAACATGACATAAAAGCAAAATGAAAAAGATCTGCTCTTCTTCGGGAAGAAAGTATACTTACCAGAAGAAGATAGCTGAGAAAGATCAGTAATGTTTCTCATACTTATTAGGTTCTTTCGGGTCCAAAAGGAAGGGGTGGAGAGGCTAGAAAGACTTTCACAAGACTCAACTACTTACAAGTTCATCAATTGCTTGGTTTAGGGGCATATTGGAGAAGGTATCTTTGATATAACGAGAGAATTCGGTGCCCTCAACATCACCATCCACAAAGTGCCCGAAATTG